TAGCCCGGATCTACGGGCGTTACAATTATCTTCCCCTTAGGATGATTACATCCCGGAATCATCAACGAAATAGGACTTGCATAATGATCCCACACGTTATTTATTCATCCTAGGTAATAACCGTAACTTCTATGTTTCCTCGAAAGAGTATTTAACTCTATGGCTTTCTTGACCGCAGAAGATACCCAATCTTGCATCTGCTTATCGTACCATGTTGTACTTTCAATTGTAACCTTCAAGTTACCAAATAAGTCCTTATTGTGGACTCCTTCTTCTCAGGATAATTACTTTCATTTATCTATTGTAACAAATCGATGGGTCGTGCTCTATTGACCTCTCATCGCACGATGTGACGCTTAGAATCGGTCTTTAATGAAGTTAAATTCCAGGATGGGATATACCTTTCTTCATATTCTAATGTGATATAATCACATTTAAGCATGTAGCATTTCTACCTGCAAACTTCTTTTAACAACGAGCGCGACACTATCAATCGCATTAACTTCAACCTTCTGACTTAAGTCAGATGTTACATCTAACTTGGTCCTCTAGACCACGTAACATACTCGTAGTCGAACTCCAATTTAAATATGACCACTAGGGTCAGAACAAGAACCATATTACTAGTCATTACCGAAACAATGGTAATGACATACCAGAATAAAGTGGAATCAATTACTAGCTTCTTGGTAACCTTGTGACTTTCCCTAATCCAAGTGCGAGTCCTGTGCTTCCGGTAGTATATGCATCTACTACCTTTCACACCTACTCATACTTGTCCCAAGTATTGTTCCGTAGTCGACCAAGTCACCATACAAGAAAATCACAAAACAATTTAACACATACGAATGTGTCCAAGTAATCAGAAACAATTTCCCTAGACTCTACTAGGACTTCTTCATTGCTCAATCTTCAATCATCAACTCTATTCAACTCGATTGGTGATGAAAATATCAGACGATGAGACAACTTCAATAATTTCACCAATCGTTCCATCATCCTGCCAATCGAAGGTGTACTTTAGACGTACCGTACTCCTCTAAATGTACTTTTATTTCATAAGACATACTCTAAAGGCAAGATACCACTCTTACGATATCTTCTGATAGGTGTCATCCACTATCGTAAGCCTTCTTCATTTCCTCCATTTACTCAATTTCTCTACGAGTCTTCACCATGACCTCTTGTACATCCAAGCAGACATTCGGTGTACCAAGCGAGAATTTTAAGATAAGAAAGCTTTATTACGATAAACGTATAAATCTCCTTATCACTCCGAAATGTTTACATGCTAGTTCTAATATCGTAATCATACGCTTAGAATCCTACACACATAAGGTTTCCAGATCCGTTCGGCAACAGACCATGGACCCGAACAAATAATAGCATCAATATAGCTATCACACAAAACATTTAGCTAACATATTTTAGACACACTCCTCACAATCATTACTTAGCATTCTAAGTTTAAGTCTAGAAATTTCCTATAATTTCCTAGTTCGCTTAAACTAATGCTCTGATACCAACTGTGACATCCCCAATTTCACGGCCAGAAATGACCGATTTGTTTATGCTTTGTTTTATAAAATCAGAGTAATCTTTTAAAGAAAACGGTTGCGGAATTTGTTCCCAAAACAATATATGATAATAACTTATCAAAACATTTCTCAAAGAGAATGTATTTTCATTTAATAATAAAACCTAGGGATGTCATTTTTCCGATACATACATATAAGCATAAACAGAACTTACATTCAATTACACTAATGATTTATATCTCCTTTAAATCTCTCTGTGAAATATGTCTTCGTATCAATACCTGTGATACAAAGAAAACTGAGTGGGTCAGGCTTGGGAGCCTGGTGAGCATATAAGGTTTTCATCCCACAATGTTATATCATATATTTATAAATATAGAACATTCAAACTTGTACAATTTCACCATATAAAGGAAACTTTTATCCCACCCCCCATCGATCCTCACAACGACACGATCTAAACTCTCGTATCTAAAATTTTCCTCTTTACCCGATCCCTACTCACGGATCTAAAACTATTATCTTCACCCGATCCATACTCACGGATCTAAAACTAACCTTTTCACCTGATCCATACTCACGGATCTAAAACTAACCTTTTCCCCTGATCCATACTCACGGATCTAAAACTAACATCCTGATCTGATCCATACTCCCGGATCAATAATTGTACCCAATCCATACTCCCGGAATAAGGACAATTAACTATACCCTAATCCTGATCTGATCCATACTCCCGGATCAATAACTGTGCCCAATCCATACTCCCGGACTAGGGACAATTAACTTAGTCTTAATCCATACTCTCGGACTAATAACAAGTTTTATCTCTTTACCTGATCCATACTCCCGGATCTAAAACTAACCTCTTGGTCTAATCCATACTCGTTGAATAACTAGATCAACAACAACAACATCGGGACCTCTCATCTGTTTATCACACATCAACTATCTACCCATGTTCTACCCAACATATTAGTAGACAAAAATATATATGTTTATACATAGTTTAAAACCTGTATAACATTCTCATTCAATACCTATTCCACATAACAGATGAGGCATACCCACATAACACGTATTTCATAGAGAATAAATCAGATCTATGAGATAGAAGAAAGTGAATATACATTCACGCATATAACAACAAAATATACACATAACACGTATTTTATACTAAATACTTAATAATTATGCGTTAGAAGAAAGTAACCACACACTCACTTGATTAGAAGATGATCGGATAGCACTACGACTTGTAGAAGTAGTATTCTTCGGTAGATCTGGAAGATCTTCACAAAAACCGGGCTCCTTGCGGGCAGAGCTTCGGCTCGGGAATCACACTTCTCAGGATCTTCAGGGCCTCGGGACTTGCTTCGGGGCTCGGGAATGATACCGGGGCTTCGGGATAATTCTTTCACGAAAAACGATGCAAAAACGCGAGAAAACGGGAAGAAATGAGCAAAGAAGTCGGTTGCCCTCGACACCCTTTTATAGGGGGTTGAAACACGAATTACACTGGGCGTAATTCTAAATTACGTTGGGCGTAATGGGGATAAGAACGCTGACTCCCCCCCCCCCCCCTTCCGGATAATATCGAATTTATATTTAAATTAAATATCGAAAATATTTAATAAACTTCAAAAATTCATATCTTCCTCATACGACCTCCGTTTTCGACATTCTTTATATCCCCGCGTAGGTGAGACTATGCTCTACAACTTTCGTTTAGACTCTGTTGGCTAATTTTGATTTTATTTTTATTATTTATTTTTAGTAGGCCGGGATAAGAAAACTCCGTTATAAATTCATAACTTCTTCATCCAACGTCCGTTTTTGCCTATCGTTTTATCGTTTTACTACTATTAACGAGATCTTCGATTCTCGTTTAGATCGTTTTGGCTAAAAACCGCCCGATCTCAAATCGAGTATTCGGGCTGCATACCGCTAAGTCGAAACTTAGAAAAATCATAACTTCCTTATACGAAGTCAGATTTGGACGTTCTTTTTATGCACGCTCAAGGTTTAACAAACTCTACGACTTTTGTTTAGATTGCTAAGGCTAAATATCACTCTAACGTAAATTCACTTTTTACGTCATTCTGCGTCGTGCCGATTCTGTCGCGAAACTTCGACAGGTCATAACTTCTTCGTTATAATTCGAATTTTGGCGTTCTTTATATGCACGGAAACCTTGTAACATATACTATAACTTAGTTAAGATTATTCATTCTAAATAATCTTTCATCAAAAATTCATTTTTTTTATGCCTATCGTCTCTAAATTGACTAGCCCGGATCTACGGACGTTACAGAAGAAGATTAAAGCATTCTTGAAGAGGTAATCATCTAGATATGATTTCAATATGATATTTTCGAAATATGTATGCTAGATCTAGGGTTTATAAGTCTTGGATGAATTGCATGTACAATAGAGAAACCTAGATCCAAGCTTTAGGGTTTGCATGAGCACATAGGATGTTCTTTTGTGTAAAACCCATCAGCAAGAAGACTTGAGGAGAGAGGAGACTAGAGCATGAATTCGGCTCTATGAAAGCAAGTAAAGGTGTGTGGAAAATATGGCATCGATGGTGTCCTATTTATACTTGCTTAAGGAAACTCCAATAGAAACCAAAGAGTCCTTTGAATGATTAATTCTAATTAATCTTAGAATTAAATCTAAATCAATTCTAATTAATCAATTAATTATAACTATTTTCAATTAATATATTAATTATATAACTTATTAATAAATAATATATTTCAATTTCCAATTAGTTTATTATTTATATAATAAATTAACAAATTATCATCCATCTCCAACTATCATTCTAATTAGTTACTAGTTTTAAGGGCAAACCAAAAAGAACTTTGCTTATAACTCAAGAATATATCAATTTAGTTATTAGCTTAAACATCTTAATCTAACCACATAATCTTGTTATTCACCAAATAGATGTGAAAACTGCATTCTTGAATGGTGACTTGATTAAGGAAATTTACATGAAACAACCTCAAGGGTTTTTGATGCCTGATAATGAACATAAGGTGTGCAAGATGAAGAAATGGTGTCAAGTTTGAATCTTTGACGAATAACAAAAATAGTCCTTGTGGTTACACAATGTTAAAAATTCATACCTCTTATGCTTAAAAAGACAAAAATACCCTTACGAATTCAATCCATAACAGCTGAAAATTGACGACATTAGTAAAAAAGACCATCTATAATCCCTTAAAATATACAATTTTCCTTTATTAGATCTATATTAATTGACTAAAATACCCTTTCTAGTTAAATTAAATGATATTTTTCGATTATATTTAATTCAATAATATATATTAATCACTTTTTTAAAATAAATAAAATGGTTGGTAGCATTTATGCGTAAATAACATAATGATTATTTTAAATATAATAACCTAAATATATATATATATATATATATATATATATAATCGTGCATATGTAATTTAACATCTTCCTTTCTCCCCTCTCTCTCTCTCTCTCTTCCAAATCAAGATGATTGCCAGCAAAGGAGGCGGTGGCGGTGCTGTTGTTGCTAACATAAGACAACCGATCAGCTCAGAGTGCTGCATGTGTGGTGATTATGGCATATCCCAAGAGCTTTTCAGATGCAAAATCTGTAAATTCCGATCTCAACACAAGTAATTTGATTCATATTCATCGGGGCTTTCACTAGATTTCTACTTCGATCACAATATTTTGAGAAGTTCCCAACTTTTTTGCAGATATTGCAGCAATCAGTACCCTAAAGCCGAGTCATACAAAGCCTGTAACTGGTGCCTGAGTCAGAAACATGACTCCGGCAACTCATCCAACTCATCATCGTCGTGCAGAAACAACTCCAGCGATAATCGCCTTGATCATGCCCTCAAGAACAAGAGAAACCCTAATGATACTACAATTGGGCATGGAGGTTTGAGGGAAAGGAGGAGAGCTTCTGATATACAGTTACCAAGCCCCGCTTCGATCAAGAAACTGCAGGGATCCTCGGCGGAGGAGGAGTCTCCGGTGTCTACCGGCCGGAAAAGGGTCGGCGGTGTGGTAGCGGAGGAGAAGCATCATGTGGTTTTGAGAAAGTCAAAGTCAGCGAATCATATATCAATTGGTGGTGGAGGTGGGATCAAAACAAGACAAGTATTTAGAAATAAGGTGAGAAGGTATAAACTATTAGATGAGGTTTCAAGCCAATGAGGTTAAAACGAAAACATGTTTTATCTTGCTCTATTTAGTTGCACTTTATGTATAAGTACTTGTACAGATCTTTGGATATAAATTTCTCACCTCTAGAGGGGTTGATTTTATTAATTTTGGATACTATCATTTAATTGTTAATTAATTACTGTGTATACTTGTTCAAAGCTCTGGGTCTCCTCGGTCTATTTTCGGTAACATTTCTTGTAAATTTCTTACGTACTTTTCCTTGTCGTACAAGTTTATATATTAAAATGTTTTAATAAGAAAAGAACAGCTGCATACTTTTTTTGACTGAAAAATAAGGCCAATCAGCAAAACCTTGTTCACTAATTAACAAAGATATAATTTTTTTTTTTTTTGAAGTTATAACAGTGGAAAACGTGTTTTACTGGACATTACATTAATACATTGGTGGTACTATTATTTTTTATAGTTCTTTTAAAATTTTATAATGGTCAAAGGTCTTTCCTGAAACGATTTTCGGAGACAGTCTTAATTTTACAGTTTTACCTTAGTTGTATGAGATGGAGATGGAGGTAATATTGTTGTTTATTAACGTTCTTATATTGTAAATTAAATCTATCTAGTGTGGCAAAAATATAAGATTACTACACATCTCAAGTTAAAGAAATAAAAGACGTCGAGAAAATGATGTGTAATCCTAAATAAGAGTTCCGTAAGAAAAAGAGTTGCGTAAATGACGTACAAAATAATACGTTTCATTTCTGAAACATACAGCACGTTCCTTGTCGACATGTAGTTAGAATCACACGTAACTAAGAATTTTATAGAATCAAAAGTAGATAAAAGGTGCTATCTTTTTGTATTTTGATTTTCTAAAGATACTTCTTGTTTTTAATTTAATAAGATAAATAGATAATATTGTAATAAACTAAAATACTGATAAAGTATACGATGGTTATGTAACCGTGTTAATTCAATGTTAGGATTCGATACGCATGATTTTGGTATCAAGAATTCTGCAAGATTGATCCAAAGAATAACGCGTGTGAAATTGGTTAAGAAATATTGACCTTTAATAAGAATATATAATGATTGATTGTTTGAACTCCGGACCAAAATGCAAATAATTTAGTCGAGATAGTCATGTATTTTATGAGTGCAAGGTGGTTATCAAAATAATGCATAAATTAATAGAGATTAATTTGGGGTTTGACGGGTTTTAGAAATTTAAAAAGGAAAATAACACAAAATGATCGTAAATTAATAGAGATTAATTTGGGGTTTGACGGGTTTTAGAAATTTAAAAAGGAAAATAACACAAAATGATCGTAAATTAATAGAGATTAATTTGGGGTTTGACGGGTTTTAGAAATTTAAAGAAGGTTATTAAGTTTATATAAAAAATTTAATTTGAAATTATTTTTTTTTTAATTTTTATAATTTTGACATTTTGATCCGACAGGATATGTAATATGTTTTCATGTCAATTTTTTTTCTACAAAAAAATAAGATTTTTATTTTTTTCAATTTTGACATTATTATTATTATTATTATTATTTTTTATAGTTTTGTCATTCCATTTATTTGTTCCAAATAATTTTTTTTTTTAATTTCTTTGTTCAGAATCGAACATCATTTTTTAAAATTTTTTTGTTTAATGTTGAACATTTACCATTTGAAATCGTATAAATATTTTTTTTATTACATTTTAAATTGTAGAAATACGTTTTTTTCATTTAAAAACCATATTTTTATATAAATACAATGTTATATATATATATATATATATATATATATATATATATATATATATATATATATATATATATATATATACACACACACACACACACATTCAAACCATAATGTTATGTATAAATATATATTAGTTATATAAAATCATATTTTACATTAAATACATAACTTTATAATGAGTTTGGAGGTTTGAAGACGTATAGTCGTTCAATGCGCAAAAGCCAAGTTTGCAACCGTGAAATGTTTACATCTTATGTCATATTCATAATTTTTTTAGGAACATATTGAATCTCATGGTGTGACTTTCAAATGATATCATAACTTAATCTTGAATGACTATTTAATTACTGAATGACAATTTAATTATTCTGTAGGTATGTAATCACTATGTCCGTTAACAATATTAAAAATCATATTTTTCAGTTCAAATTTTCAAATATTTATGAAGGATAAGTGCAACAATTATTACATCTATTTTAGCATTCTCAATTAATCTTGATATTTTGTTCTATATTGCCCACCTACATCTAATATCCAACCTTGGCAGCACAAGCACTTCTGATCTCTGAATTCGTTGTCCCAGAAGGAACAACTTACTACAACGAGATCTTTTCCAGAAATCTTCCGATGCAAGAGCCACACGTATAACCCTAAAAGCATGAATCTGACAGCAACTCATCCTACAATCACGTTCTGACCGACTCCTTATACCCTTCAACCACGAAAGATCTCAACCATCTCGAGCTCTAAAAATTCGAAAGAACTTACACTATAACTTCCTACGACCCAATGTGACGAAGCCATCAAAATCGATCTGGCTACTGATCTTCCAAGCAGAATACTCAGTTTACTCCCACCTTGGTCTCACGTCATCACTGCTCGTCGCTTCCCAAAGTGATGCCTACAACCGGTTAAACCGAATACCCTTTAACCACAATCCTCGACATATGACACCCTTGAATAATAATTATAATAACCAAGCAACCATAAAGAAACTACGATCCTTAGCAGGAGACTTAACGAAAACCGAACATAACGTCACACACACACACAACCATAAGCATAAATTACAAGGCATGAAGAAAGCAAACATGACACATATTTGTAATAGCATCTGTAACTGAAACGCTTAGATCCTCACCACTGGAGCCTCTGCCCTACCCTCGCGGCCATTAGTAATTCTTAATGTAGCTGGAGTAGGTGCCCATATTGCTTCACTGAGAGTTGGCCTTCTTGTGGCCCACCTGATTGCAGCGAAAACACATCGGACTCAAACCCTAAGGACAATCCTTTCTAAAATGACCAGCCAGGACGCAACCAAAACATTACGTTCCTTTCTCATGTCAACTCCCCTTGTGAGTCCTCCCGTACTTGGAACAACGGCCTCGGCCCTAATTGCCTTCTGATCTTGTACCCGGAGTCTTGGGACTCTTTGTCTGGCCCATTGTGGTCTGAACCTGCTCTGGTCCATGCTTCGACAAAGGTTGCAACTCAATCTCCTGCTCTCAAGCTTTAGATATCATTTCTCCAAATGTCTTGCAGCTCAACAGGCGTACAAACTCCCGAATATCATCCCATAGCATATCATGCTACCTTGTCTTCTTCATCCCATCATCTGTAGCGTACCGCGAGACCAATATATCCCTCTCCCGAACTTGTCAATGATCTCCAACATAGTCTCTATCGTATGGCAAAGGTCCTAAAACTCCTTCGTCAATTGTTGTACCTCATTGGCTGGTGCAAACTACACCCTCAACCTCGCCATGAAATCATTCCAAGTCATGGTCGTCACAACTGTCGATCCCAAAAGCATGACCAACCTCCTCCTACCAATCACGAGCTCGGTCCCTCAAAAGACAAGACGTGAATCCCACCTTCGACCCCTCGGGATAAACGCTTATTCGATGAGCATTATCCATGTCAGCAATCCATCGACGACTAGCAATAGGGTCCTTCGCCCCGAAGAACTTTGGGGATCTGTAAGCCTTGAACTCCCGAAAAGAGAGAGTTCTAGCCCCCAACCATCCTACCACAATCTCAGCCTGAAAATCCTCGAAACGCTCATCCAGTAGCTCCATGACCCCCTTGATTTGAGTACGGACCATGTACTTTTAGTAGTACGGGCCCAATACTACTTTCTACACCTATCCATACTTTCCTCAAGAATCATACCGAATCCTCTAAGTCACACTCTCAAATTGGTATTCCAAAACCCACTCAACAACACACCTTACCTACTAAAGCACTTCCTAGGCTCTCCTAGGATCCCAACCTCACCATGCCATCAGATTCTAAAGAACTCTTACTAATTTCAATCAACTAATTCATGAATACAATTACATGCAACAAAGCTTAGATAATCATTCGACTAAAAGACTCAACCCTACAGCGGTTGGACTCATACAAGAGTTGTGTAATAGGGCCAAATCAATAACTCTTGAGATTATTTAACCTTTACAACATGTAACTTAATATATTCATGTAATAATTAACTCATATCAGTATGAGTCCTACAAAGCACAAAGCAAGCAACATTCGAGTAGTAGAACTCTCCAGGCCAAAAAACATCAGAAGGCATCCCCAACTCACTTACTACTATGATGCTAGGAACTTCCACTAACACTGCCGCTTGCATTATGCATGCAAATTATACACAATATAGGATTAAATAGATTGTCAAATAAATGAATCTACCTTAAGCCCACAACCATACGAGGAAGAGGAAATAAGGTTAAATAAGTCAATCTATGGTTATGATCTTAACCTTATATACTTTCAAAAATACACTTGGCAATCAATCCCACCAACATAGATTCTAAATTCAACATATCATCCAATTCTTCCTGAACTACAAGGTATCACGAATCAGGCCATTCTATCATGTAATTCTTGAAGGTATCCTTAGCCCTTACCTAGCATGCATACATTCCATAACGTAATAACATATCATCATATATAGGTATTCTGGAAATCACTTACTTGAGATCAGCTGATTGCACGCACCCCACCTTTTTCTTTCTATCAAAATATTCTTTAGAAAATTTATTTTCTTTTTTAAAAGATTACTAATTCCTTAGTTTTAGTTCAGACACACCCGAGAGTGTGCTCGAATCCCTCAAAGCAAGGTTTTGATACCAACTTGTAACGTTCCAAAAATACCTATAAAAATTTTCATTTAAAACCATTAAGTCATACAACCATTTATTTAAAACCCAAACATGATAAGACTTATTTCTCAAATATCAGAGTAAACCAAACGTAATCAGTGTGGAAAAAGCCATTAAGGGATGTTGTGTAGTCCCACCCAGCCCTTCCCTTTGGAACTGGAAGTAGGTGAAAAATGTTAAACCATAAAGCGAAAGCATAAAACTTAGCGAGTTCCCCAAAATACCGTATTCCATACATATCCTCGGGCCCAACCCACATATTGGGCCTAATCCATAATAATAGGCCCAAACCTCCATAACAATGGGCCCAACCCAACATATAAATAGGCCCAGTAATGGTGTA